AATGAAATTTTTCAACGAGAATATCTGTTTACTTAGTAGATTTTTTTTTGTTGTTAAAATTTATATTTTCTTTTGAAGGTTTGGATTGCTGCTGCTAATCAAGTTTGTTGCTTTTTTTTCATGAATTTTTGCAATGTTTAGACAATTCATCGTGGATGTTGGTGTGAGTGCGGATCTCGACACTAACCAACATTCACAACGAATTGCCCAGTCATCAATTTTTACATATTTCAAAGTTTTCAATCTACTAGGTTACATTTTCTCTATCGGTTGCATTTGGCCCTCTTCTCGGTTATGCTAGTTTCAATAAATTTAATGCAAACTACCTCAGGTTAATAATTCTTCATTAATTTAATTTCTTAATTTTGTACATTTAATCTGCATATACATGTATTTATTTAGAGATTGTATTTTTGTTACGGCTTGCGATTGTTTTACTTCAGTGAGTTAATGATTTCTACATGTTTGAATAAATTATTGCCAATGAAAATAATAGGTATTTGCTGGTTTTGCAATTTTTTCAATTCTTGGTTATATGTCATTTAAAACGGGTTTACCTATTGAACAAGTAGCTAAAGGTGGACCAGGTCTTGCGTTTATTGCTTATCCACAAGCACTATCAATTATGCCAGGTGGACCATTTTGGGCTGTAATTTTCTTTTTTATGTTACTTACTCTTGGACTAGATTCTCAAGTAAATTAATATAATAAAACTATGATTTTATTTATTATAGAAATTATCTTTAGTTTGCTTTCGCTGATGTTATAATCTCTGGTTTACTCGATACATTTAAACAATTACGTCGTCATAAAGTCTTTGTAACAATCAGTTATTGTATTGTTTGTTTTTTCCTAGCATTACCAATATGCGCACCCGTAATATAATATGTAAAAGATAATAATATATACTTTGATTGGTTTTTTTTTGTTTAGGGTGGTATTTATCTATTTGTATGTATATATTGTTTGTTGTACTTTGATAATTCAATTTGTTTTATAGACATTAATGAATGAATATGCATCTAATTTATCTGTATTTGCATGTGCATTTATTGAATTTATACTTATTGCCTATATCTATGGTAATATAGATATAGATCAAATATTAGGTTAAGTCTTTCTTTTTCCAGGTTTTAATAATTTTATGGAAGATATTCGAATGATGTTAGGTAAAAGACCTTTAGAACCAGTTTGGTTTTTTACTTGGTGTATTTCTGGTCCAATAATGACAATAGTAAATTAAATAATAAAGTATTTATTGTTTAATTCGGAAATTTTGTTGTTTTTTGCTTTGAAATTAGATCATCTTTTTTTCATCGGTTATTCGATTTCGAACACCAACTGAAGGCAATTATGAATATCCAGCATATGCCAATGCACTTGGCTGGCTTATGGTTTGTTCATCACTCATCTTCATTCCGAGTATTATGATTTATGAACTTATTAAAGCGTGGAAAATTACAGACAGTTCTCACTATCCAGTAGAAATAATTTGTTTTTCGATGATTTTTTTAAATACATATGTTTGTTTTATTTTAAAGGTTATTGATAATATGCCGCATTACTTGAGGATGTTGGTTTATGCAAGTAAACCGGATATTGAATGGGGACCAGCAAAAATCGAAAATCGTTATGGTCGTTATGGATCAAAGACTGACCAATCGACTTCTCAATATCAATCGGATATTAAGCATGGCAATAATAATTCGGCTTTTGAACTTGATAATACATTTCATCTAGAATTATAATTATGCTTTGTTGTAAAAGATTAAGATTTCAAATAAGAAACTAATATAAAGCTTTGGATAATAATAACGTTGATATAACGTTCACTAGTAATAAATATAGATGAACTTCAAACTTTCATTACTCACTGTGAATATGGTAAATGAAAATCTATTACATATGGAAGGTTTTATTATTTCATTAAACAAGATTTAAAGTTGATCTTTTAATCAATATACAGTAGAATAATTCCTGGTATTTTATTATTAAGATGATTTTAATAGTTCGAAATTACTTAATATAAAGAAGAAAAACCTCTGCTAAAGGCTAAAAGATCTTTGATTAGTCTAATTTCATTCTTTGAAGAGAAATATTCTGTGAAAAGTTTCGTTAAAAGTGGCAGAAATATTCTGAAATTGATATGAATAATCACCTGTGATAAAATAGCATATTATTCAAAAACAACAAATTCATTAAAAGGAACATATTGAATTTCACTTGATGGTGAACAAAAGTTCTACAATGTGTCATAATTAATAGGTACCAAGGAAATTTAATGATCTTGATAATCAGAATATTTTTCTACACTATATAAAAACGAAAGTTTCCGCTTGGAATCAATGATAGTTCATCACCAATAATGACAGGAATCGGATTAAGTAATATAATACCAAACATAATTAGACTTCCCGTAGGATTAGAATATTTGCAAATATATTCAACTGATAATATAAACTGCATAACCTTGCAAAACCATTCATAATCTAGTAGTCTATCGAGCATAGGAAATTGATCCGATATAAGTTGAGACATAATAAAGCATTGCCATCTCAATGGAAATCACTCGATTATGATTTACTTGTTGAACCAGTAGCATCCCACTTTGCTTCTTTCCTTCTTTTTTTCTAAAAATCTTTTTTTGAGCAGAACTATTTTTTTGAAACAAAATAGTCGATAATGTTGACCCATTTGGATAAACGAATTTCCAATCAAAAACAGTTTTAATAAAACTAATTTGAAAAAGAAACATTCAATATAATTTGATATTATAAAAACGTTCTATTTTATTAATATCAATGTCAAATGATAATAATTCGAATCATTTTAGGATTTCATTATACAATATTAAATGCGACCTTGTCTTGAATTTGTTTCAAAACACACGACATAGTATTCAAATACATAGAATCTTTTAGATGTAGACGCGAAACAAAACCTTCAACAGTGAAAAAGTCACTCTCAGGAGTACTATCTAATGTCAGTGACATTAAAAGTTTTTGTTTTACTAGTTTGATGTTGGCAACAACAACTTGCCGACTATATGAACTGAATACTTCAAATTCAACGAAATCATCATTATCAATAAATCGAATTCAATCATAAACATCTTCAAAGGACTATTCTATACAACGATCGGAATCAAAATGCTAACAAAAAGAACTTTAGTAGAATAGAATGTAAACTGAAATATAACAACAAAGATTAGAAATAAACGTTCTCTTATGAATGCTCCCATTTAAGCAGCTCTGATGACAACTATCAAGAGAACTGTTTTTAAATGCTTGGATTCAATATTTGCGTCAAGAACATTTAATATAATAGAAAATATTTTATTTGAGCGTTTTGTTTATTTCTAGACTTGTTCAAGAGTAGTTATTTACAATGATAGTTTTAATCATTACATGTATATGTATGAATGTCTGAGGTTTCTGATCGTTTAGAAATTCATAACTGTGACCTCTCTTCCGAAGTCGGAGCAACATTGGCAGTGTTTTGACTTGTTTCTGTGTATGTTGTACTTGGATTGCTATTCAGCGTTGAAGATTGATTGATTAACTCCGATGAAGCGATGTTTCCACTATCAGATAAATTTTGATTACCATCTGAATCATTCCACTTTCTTCCATTTTGTTCCGATAACAACATTGATCTTGATCTAGGCTGATGCTGAGCAAAAAATGTTTCAGATTCATTCGATGCAGACAAATCAACTGAAGGTGGATGAGATGGAAGAATTACGTTCGTTTGTTTCCAGTTTTCTCCTTCATATACTATCCATTTACTCAAATTTAAAATAAATTTATTAGCATACACTTGATTTACCCATTTTTTCGGAAGTTTTTTATATCCATAGTATGCACCAGCTAATTGACCATAAATGGCAGCTGTTGTATCAGTATCATCACCAAGATTGACAGCAGCAAGTACACCCTGCTCAAAAGAATTATTATCAGACCAAAATGCCCATAGAGCAGCTTCAAGAGCATTGACTATATAACCTTTGCCACGAATTCCATCTTGATATCCACCTTTTTTCTTATAAGATCCTTCGGCAATCTGTTTTATTTCTTCACAAAGTGGTTTATTACCGAACCATGATTTATGTTTTTTGTAAAAATTTTGATCAAGCAATTGTTCTTTCGTATAGTCATTAAGTGTGGCACAAATCAAAGCTCCATAATATCGACATGCATCGTATGCTTTGTTATCACCATGTGTAATTTGTCCACTGTAGCCAGAGAATTCTGTAGCTTCTTGTGGATGTTTATAGAAAAAAAGTGGAACAGGTGCAAGACGCATAAGAGCTCCATTACCAGCGACACCAGACTTACTGCAATAAACTGGAAACTCTTGAAGAAGACTTGGATCTGAAAGGTAATCTAGTTTTTTAAGAGGGATACGATAACGTTCGGCAAACACTGTTTGGCGATGAATAAATTCTTGTAGTGATTGAGAAGTAGCTGCACCAATATCAAAACAATGTCCTGTAGATGACATATATCCATGCTCAAACCACCATTTGTAACGAACTAATTGATCATAAGGTATAAAATCACGACGAACTACCAATGAATTAGCCAAACAAAGAGCCATTGATGTGTCATCTGTGAACTAAAACATTTATATCTTCTACAATAATTGGTAAAAAACCTTCGACAATATCATTGTATTCTAATTAAAAGATAATGTGCTCATTGTTGTCCTCAGAGATTTGTTTTCTATAAGAAATGAATTATCCATAATTTTTTCAGAACATCACTTTAATTACTATTATTCAATGTAGTCGTTTCATTTTCGAAAGAAATCTTATCCAACATGTCAGCTTAAATTATATAAAGAGCGATTTCAGAAATAATCTTGATACACTATCCTTTGATATGAGCAATAGATATCGGGTGTGAATGTCAGCATTGGTTATAGTGGGGATGTGAGTTTATGTAAAGACAAGAACTGCAGACCCACACTTTGAACTTCAGTAAATTATTTTGTATTTAGTACCACTTTGTTTTAAGTTTCTCTAATATAGAGTAGGATGAAGAAACAATACTTGTGCATTTTTGAGATGTCATGTGCTGTTTCCTTCTAATTTTTGACTTAATATGCAAGTCAATATTTCTAACTATGAAACTCAACATGCACCACAAGAACATCATCCTAAGCCAATTCAATCAAAGAGTTACGGATTTGATCTGGTCGTCTCTCATCGATTGGATCAACAAAGATTCCTGTCATGTCACTTACTTCAAAGTAGTCTTAAATATGCTTGTTTTTCTCGTTTATGATAAGAAGATTTTAGTCACAATTTTTGCAACAACAAAGGTAAGTAATAGTTTTTATAAGAAAATACCTTTCCTTTTTGGAAATGATCGTTTTTAAAGTTCAATTTAGTTAATCTAGTCCTACATAGCAGTTCGTCTTTAAAAAAGATGTCAAATTTTCGAATAGAATGATGTTAATTCTATCTAACTATTCAAACTTCAAATGTCTCTATGATGTAATTATTTTATAGTTAAAAAACTTCATGAATTTTTGTGTTAGTTGTCTCAATTGTAAAATACAATGAAGAAATAATACTTGTCCTTTTTTAAGACCCCATGTACCACCTCCTTCCAGATCTTTGACTGGGTGTGCAAGTAAATGTGCATGAGGACGAAACTCAACATGTGCTCCAAGAGCATCACCCAAAGCCATTCCAATCAATGAACCAGAGGTTCTATCCAGTAGTTTTTCATCGATTAGATTAGGTGGATTTTCCATTTCATTTTCAAATTCATCAGGCTTTTTAATTTGGCCATCTGCATGATACCGAAGATTAAGCCAATTTTTTTCTAAATGTACAGAACAAGAAAAATTAATAAAATATACTTATGATGACTTTTTTGAAAAAGTATCGGAGTATACAACGACTTTCTGTCAATGGAATAAAACTTTCTAAGCCTGTAGGACTTGAGTTTGTAAGCATAGTCGTAGGCTTAAAAAAATTTTAAAAATCTTTCAAAAAGAGTCCACATGGGAGGGGACAAGGTACGGTCCCCCAGTCAAACTGGGTCTTTGCCAGCTCTTCTGTTTCAATTGATAGAAGTTTAAAATTTTTATCATAAATATTAGTTGTTGAGATGATCATTTTTTGTAGCGGACGTTGTTTGCTTCCGTGTTCTGTATTTTAGACTCAAGTATCTCTATAAAGTCCAAATGAATTTTCAACTTTTATTAGTGCTTTACAATCATCTAAATGTCCTCTAGTCAACTGTGAAATCTTTAGATCTGTCGTTTGTTCCTGGGTCGAATGACAAAGACATCTTTAGGATCTAATTTCGAAATTTTACTTACTTTGCACCACCTCTCAAACACAAACAGGGGATTCTCAAAACCTGTCCTTTGGTGAACCTTCATCAGCACACTTAGCTTTGCCATTCCTGAAATTTTCATTTTCGGTCAAGGTGATTTGACTGAGAGAACCGATCTTGAATTTTTTCTCAAGAAAATGACCGTTACAACTGTTATAAATACCATACAAAATATTCAAGATTGATTTTCTCGGTCATATTGGCTTGGCTAAAAACAAAAATTTCAGGAGTGATAAAGCTAAGTGTGCTGATGAAGGTCCACTATAGGACAGGTTTTGGGAATCCCATGATTGTGCTAGAGGGAGAGATGCAAAGTTGGTAAAATTCGACAGTGGGTCCTAAAGATGCCTTTGTCATTCACCCTAGGAACAAACGACAGACCTACAGATTTCACAGTTGGATAAAGGACATTCCAACGATTGTAGAGCACTAATAAAAGTTGAAAATCCATTTGGACTTTATAGAGATACTTGAGTCCAAAAAATAGAACATGGGAGAAAACAATGTCCGCTGCAAAAAATGATCATGTCAACAAGTAGTATCTATCATAAAAATTTCAGACTTCTATCAATTGAAACAGAGGAGCTAGCTAAGGCCCAGTTTGGCTGGGGGGGAGGGGGACCGCACCTTCCCCTCCAAATATGTAGACTCCTTCACAAGGTTTTCAAATTCTTTCAAACCTACGACTACGCTTACAAACTCAAGTCCAATATACTCAGAAATTTTCATTCAGTTTGCAGAAAGTCGATGTATATTCTAGTACGTTTTCGCAAGAATTATTCCTTTGTGTATCTATTCAAAAGAAGATTATGCATTTTGAGAAACACTGTGTTTCAATGTCAACAAACCATGAAAATAATAGTTTGGTTTTTAATGCAGGAAAAATATGAATATCTTACCTGTTTCAACTTCAGTTAATGAATGATTGGCTGGCGATTCTACTCTTCGAGCAGCTAAATATAGAATAATGAAGATTAAATATCTTTATTATTAAAAAAATATTCAAGAAAAATTAAAATTGATTCACTTTTAATGATGAATGATCCCTTAAATCCATCTTAACTTGCCACAAACAGTTAAAAATTACTTTGTGATTCTAGCTCAAAATTCTTCTATATAGAAAGTTCTCGTATTTCAAAAGTATCAGTAATTTAATCAGAAGAATTATCGAAATTGAAAATTGCTCAAAACGAAATCCATGACGTAAATGAATTACAAAATACTTCAAAAGTTCTATAAACTTTCTTAACGATTTCAACCAATCAGAAATTATGTTTTGTGGCATTCTCACGCTAGTGTTGCGTGTGCTTATCTCGCTCCAATGTTGACTTAGGGAGACCTTGATGCTTTTTTCATACTATATGAGTCATTTCGTAACTCATTTACATCAACCGACGTCGAAGCAATGATGTAAAGTGAATAAGAGTAGCTCGCATTTTTCTTTTTACGATCAAATTTTATACTGTTGATTAACACCATTTTGGAAGTCAATTTTGTTTTTGTCGGTCATTTAAATATAAATTCTCGATCAGTGACAACTAATAATAAATTGACATTAACCCAGTCATTGGGTTCTTTTTGATCTTGCTCATGAAAAGCAAAATATAAAATAAAATCTTACTTCTGAAAAATAGATCTCTTAATCTTTTTAAAATGGTTTGAAGCATCTCCATTTGAATAGTTAAATAAAGAAATCTGGTTGTTTTCGTCGTATCTTTCTTGTTTTGTCGTCACATGCTTTTCTTTTTGCAAAAGAAATAATTTTTTTTTTCTTCGTTCTTTCCTTTTATTTCCTATTTTACTCTACTCTTGTGAAATTCTTTTTCTGTTCTGTTTATTGCATACACACGCTTAAAAACAACAAAAATATCAATCAAAATATTTTATTATGACAGTAAAAATTTAAGGTGATATAGAGTTATATAAGAAACAAATGTATATATCAGAAAATTCTGTTTATTGTTTGGTGGAAATTGTTGATGAAGTCTTGAATTATAAACTGCTTTTGTTTAAAGACCACAACGATTTATTTAAGGAAAATTAATAGCTGATTCGAGGTTTTTCAAAAACGATTCGCTCCATTCACTGAAGCAACTAAGGCATGCAGCTCGACAAATTCTATCAAAAGATGTATTCACATTTTTCATGAAAGCTAACCGACAAAAATGAAAACAAAAATATTGATTTTCGCTCATAGAAAAATAAAACAAAGCTTTTCTTTGACCATTTGCTCCACAATCTGAGTCACCACTGGCATTTAGCTCATTCGATGTAGTTCGGCGAGCATCATCGACTGGTAAATATTTCGGTTGATTGAAAGCAACACGACTTTGGTATGAATCTCAGAAATATCCAAACCAGATTCTAAGCCGGGATTTTCTTTCACGTTTCGCTCCACAATCTCAGTCGTTCACAGCACATAAGTCAATGGAAAGAACTCATCAAGTTGCATGGAATCAAGTAACTTCCATTAGTAGATCAGGCTGTGAAATGAATCGTCGTAGGAAGAACGACATAGGGCCTGATTTTCGTATTCCACCCATCCTAATTCATCAGTGACTCAGTGAATGGGGCGAATCGTTTTTGAAAAAACTTGAATCGACTGCTAACTACCCTTACATCAACGATTTGTAACGCTTTGTTCTTATATACTGGAACCAAATTTGACTCAACATTGAAGAAAAAAAAACCAAGATTTTATATATGAATAGGTTTTTCTTCATATTGTCATAAGTTCTGATATAACATCAAATCTGACGTATGGTATAACTTTGACACAATGTTTTCAAAAAAAAAAAGGAGATTACGTGAAAATTGAGACAGTGAAGTACTTGAATTATCGCAGTCACGCTGTGAGTGTGGATGAAGAGGTGAATGACACCTACATGGTGCACACTTTTCTCGAGTTTCTGCAGTTCTGTGAGTTCCAAGGGTTTCATGAATTCAATGAGCTGCTGGAGTGTCTTACATTCCTTGAGTCCCCTAGGTTCTTTGGATTTCATGAGTTCATTGGATTTCATGAGTTGCTTTCTTTTCTTGGATTAGACAAGTTCCTTGAGTTTCTAGGATTCCGTGAATTCATTGAGTACCATTGGTTTCGTGAGTTTCTTGTGTGGTCCAGTCAGTTAGCATTAGAGTTCGACGGTTACAAAAAAATTGGAACCTTGAACGAGATCGGAACCGACTCTTTTGAATCTCTTGCAATCGGAATTAAAGCCGTGGACAAAAATGCTTTGGAACCGTTACAGGAACTGAAACCGTTAAATCATCAGATAGATACAGAAAATTCTTAAATCTGTATCAAGAAATCTTCATTTTTTTTCATTTTTGAGATTCAAGATTTCAGTATATATGTATAATATTGTTTTGTTTAAGTACTGAAATATGTGGTGCCTTTAATCTCAACAATTTAATAGTAAAATTTTCTCAAAATATATTTAAAATTGTCGTATGTATCTCATGATTTAACGGCTCCAGTTACACGTGATATTTTGGACCCACCGAACTCTAGTTAGCACACTAATTAGTTCGATTATATTTGTATTAATCTTAGTGATTTACAGCGAAGTTGAATTTTCAAGAGTTCCAGGAGTTCAGAACTTATCGAATTTAGATATGTCTCGTATGTTCTTTAAAGCTTTGTTCTATATACTTTCAGATAAATGTCTGTACCTATGAATATTAGAATAAAAATAATTATATAAATGATTCAATTTGAGGTACCTATAGTTGTGAAACGAAGACTTCAAGTGAAATTCGACGAAACTACACCACATGAAGATTGCATTAAAGTTACGTTTCAATGCTTTTGTGAAATTGGCACAGTGAAAGATCAAGAAAGTTCGGGAAGACTGTCAAAAATTAGAAAAGAAAAAGTCGACGAAGTTTATAATGTTTGTGAAAAATGAACTGCAATCAAGTGTTCGAGCTGTTGCAAAGGTCTGATCCATTCTATGAACAACAGTGCATCGAATTTTAATGACTGAATATCTTTTATTGAAATCGTACAGGATATAATTTGTTTGTGAAATAAAACAGACTTTTGTGACAGTTCAAACCGTTCATTGAGATTCATTTTTCACAAACATGATGAACTTCGTCGACTTGTTCTTCTGTAATTTTTGACGATCTTTCAGAACATTCTCGATCTTCTATGGTGCCAATGTCATAAAAACATCAAGTTGTAACTTGAATGCGATCTTCACTTAATGTGTTTTTGCCGACCTTGACTTGTAATTTTTGTGTCAATTTATTTTTATTTTTTATATAATCAAAATTCATTGAAAATTGAGTGCTTAATTATGTAATAAAACTTTTCTTAAATATATGTAACTAAATGTTATATCTTTAAGTTCATTTTCATATTCAAAACTGATATAAAACTTATAGACATTTTCTATCATCAGTTTAAATAATTGGTAACAACTATTTTCTCTCTTTTATGTCAATTCTCCTATGATAGACTTTATATATTAAAGAAAAAACAGAAAAATTAAATCGAACACAACTAACCAAATTGTAATCGATAATCAGTGACATCTTTTTTAGATTATTTCATGACTAACAGTGATTGATCGATCCAGTTTTTGCTTTCTATCGATGATCTTCTTCTTCCTTTCATTAAGACTCGCGTATTAGATTACGTTAATCATAGTCCTAACACTAATTAGTGTGGTAAAAATAAGTCCAGCACTGCATAAAAATGAAGACTGTAATTATAGTGAACAAGTACCGTTATTAAACAATGCTTTGATTGTTGGTACTTGTATATTTTACAAACATCATAAACTTCAGCAGATAGGTTTCTAGTTATTAGGGTAAGTATTTCAAACTTATACAATGTTTACAATACTAGTTTCTTGAAAAGTATTAAGACACACTTCCATAGTTTAATTCATCTTGATACGTTTTACTAAGCATGGCTTGTAGTTTTCATTTGTACATTTGTAGGTCATTTATCGTTGGCTATTAATAAATTTGATTTGATTATATTGTTCATAAGCAAATTATCTGATATATTACTTTAAAATCTTGAGGAACATACTGATGCAGTACGTAAAAAAATTAAATAAGTTATTTGAATCATTTACATACTATTCACATTTTTTTGTCCATACAGACTTTTGAAACAATTTTAATTGCGAAAACAAGTTAATTTCTGAAAGTTTTAAATGATTTGTTTTTTGGAAACTTCGCTATTCAATATACGCTAATTATCAACTTATGTAACTTGTTCGAGTTTAAAAAACCGATGAAAATTATACAAAGGAATTTAAATTAGAAAGGATATTATCATAAAAAAAATTAATAATAGAGAAAAGTAAAAACTTGACTATTTTTGTCATGTATTACTAATTTTTTTTTATTTTGATAATAAAAAAAATATAACATCAAAATCCAAATTATGTTACGATTTGGCATATCGATCTTGAATTTAGCTTTAATGAATCATCAGTAAAAATAAATCACGAAATCAATGAAATTTTATACAGAAAAATAATAAGCAAAGAAATAATGATTCATTTCATTTACATAGCATTACAAAAGAGTTGGGCTTTCAATTCGAATTCAAAAAAAACTGTATGAGTTGCTTACTCGTATTACAAATCATAAAATCATCAAAAGAAAAATTCACATTTGCACTGTCATTGCTTTTCTATCGAATGACTCATGTAAATTTGATTTTGACTCAAGGCATGACACTCCTACACATTTTTTTTTCTTGAATATGATTTTTTTAATGATGCGTATTTTTTGAGACGATTTAAGAGTAGATCAGCAACATTTTTGTCATTTTCCTTTAACTCATGCATTTTGTTCTTGAATAATATGGCGTCTTATTATGTTTTATCACCAGTAATAAATTATTCGTACTAATAAGTTCGTTTGTAAAGTATGCAAAAAACGAAAAAAAAAAGAGGAAGATCATAGAGGTAAAGTAGAGAACGAAGAAAAAAAAAACTTTTTCTAATAAAAATATATATCTGTAACTACAAATATAAAACGAAAACAGCCAGATTTCTTTGTCTAGTGGTTAGAATGGAGAAGATTCAAAACAGTCTCAAACAGTTTAAAGCACATATTTTGAGAAGTAAGATTTTACTTTATATTTTTCTTTTTATGATTTGCTAAAAAGTCATTGGATCAGTAACTCATGTGTTACTAGTTGTAACTAATCAATTTAGTATACTTACATCATCTACAGACAACACACTATTAAACTGACTATTCGTTTTAAAATTTGGTTTATGACTAACAAACAAAAATAAGATAAAAGAACATGTAATTCAAATAAGCTTTAGATGAATTGTCATCTCACAACACCAGTTAATTGAATAATGAATAATTTTTATTCTCTACTAGTAATTTCTTTTAAACAAATTATTTGTTTTCGAGAAGTTTCTTTCCGAAAAATGTTGGATAATGTATTTTTTGTTTTTCATTTACATATGATTTAATATATTTTTTTTTCATGATAAAGATATACAATCTATACTATTATCTTATGTTTGATTGTTTTAGAACCACTGAAACGAGCTAATCATTCATCATGCCAATTTCAAACAGGTAAGAATTAATGTTTTCTATTTCACAAAACAACTAAATACTATCTTCATTAACTTTTCGCTCTGTATTTTTAGAAAAAAAGTGGCTTCGTCTTCAGTATCATGCAAATTATCATATTAAGAAGCCTGATGAACTTGAAAATGGAATGGAAGATCCACCTGGTCTAATCGATGAAAAACTACTAGATAAAACCTTTGGTTCATTGATTGGATTGGCTTTAGGTGATGCTCTTGGAGCACATGTTGAGTTTCGTCCTCATGAGTATTTACTCTTAAACCCAGTCAAAGACCTAGAAGGAGGTGGTACATGGGGTCTTAAAAAAGGACAGGTATTATTTCTTCATTGTATTTTACAATTGAGAAAACTAACACAAAAATTCATGATCATAAAATCATTATATCATAGAGACATCTGAAGTTTGAATTGTTAGATAGTATTTCTCACTATTGACTTCAATCATTAGTAGATCACTTTAAAATTCCATTAACGTTAATGTAAACTTTTTTATTGATTGAAAAAAAATTTCATATAATAAATTCTATAAAAAAATTTCAAGACATTCACTTTCATTTAAACCTCTATTTGATTTGTCAGTTGCTTTCTGTAGAATTGCATTCATTTTACACCAGCATAACTAATGTTTCGTTTTTCGTCCTTCATCGATGAAACAAGAAAAAGTCATGCATTTTTCAATTTTGAGTGTATTGATTTAGTCACGAGTAGAAAGCAAACATAACATCATTCTACCGTCAATTCATACCTACTGCTGATTTCAAAATAACATCCAATAAAAATGAATTACGTAAATTGAACACGTCACTAATTAGAAATTAGAAACTACGCAAAACAGTTAAAAAATGAGGCTGTTTATTTTATATATAATTTAATTCGAATATTTGATATCTTTTTTTTTGAAAATGAATTGCTATATAGAACCAGATTAGTTAAATAATATAATAAAAATGATCATCTTCGAAAAGGAAAAAGTATTTTCCTATACAAAACTATTAACTGCATTTTTTTTTACAAAAACTGTGACTAAAATTTTCTTATCATAAACGAAAAAAAAACCAGCATATTTATTAAAGGATACTTTGAAGTAATAGTGGCATGATAAGAATTTTTTGTTGCAACAGCAACTACTTTTTTTAAAAGATTATTTAACCTTACATACGGCTTGTTTTAGTCTGGGAGAGATACTAAGGATTATTACCGACTATAAACTATATAATTTATGAAAACAAAAACGATATAGTATACAATCTTTTAAATAATATGCAAAGATATTGTCGAAAACTTCTCCTTATCAATCAATATAGAAGATATAAATGTTTTAGTTCACAGATGACGCGTCAATGGCTCTTTGTTTGGGTATTTCACTAGTGGCTCGTCGTGATTTTATACCTTATGATCAATTAGTTCGTTACAAATGGTGGTTTGAGCATGGATATATGTCATCTACAGGACATTGTTTTGATATTGGTGCAGCTACTTCTCAATCACTACAAGAATTTATTCATCGCCAAACAGTGTTTGCCAAAAGTTATCGTATCCCTCTTAAAAAACTAGATTACCTTTCAGATCCTAGTCTTCTTCAGAATTTTTCAGTGTATTGTAGTAAGTCTGATGTCGCTGGTAATGGAGCTCTTATGCGTCTTGCACCTGTTCCACTTTTTTTCTATAAACATCCACAAGAAGCTACAGAATTCTCTGGCTACAGTGGACAAATTACACATGGTGATAACAAAGCATACGATGCATGTCGATATTATGGAGCTTTGATTTGTGCCACACTTAATGACTATACGAAAGAACAATTGCTTGATAAAGATTTTTACAAAAAACATAAATCATGGTTCGGTAATAAACCACTTTGTGAAGAGATAAAACAGATTGCCGAAGGATCTTATAAGAAAAAAGGTGGATATCAAGATGGAATTCGTGGCAAAGGTTATATAGTCAATGCTCTTGAAGCTGCTCTATGGGCATTTTGGTCTGATAATAATTCCTTTGAGCAGGGTGTACTTGCTGCTATCAATCTTGGTGATGATACTGATACAACAGCTGCCATTTATGGTCAATTAGCTGGTGCATACTATGGATATAAAAAACTTCCGAAAAAATGGGTAAATCAAGTGTATGCTAATAAATTTATTTTAAATTTGAGTAAATGGATAGTATATGAAGGAGAAAACTGGAAACAAACGGACGTAATTCTTCCATCTTCTCAATGTACAGCTGATGCTGGTAATTCAGTTCCTATTGAACACCAAATATTGGATGTTAACATAGAAAGTGTTCCTTTGACCCATCGGAATTCAGGAAATAAAACAGTACCAATTGGAAAGCAAATTCGTCGGCATAGTATTTTAGATGTTGAGAGTAAGTTTTTTGTAATAGATTCGCTTGTATTATAAACATTTCTTTTCAGTTTTAGATTCAAATAATCACTTGATATCAAATCAATACACAGTTTCTCAATTTAATTTGAATGAAATTAGTAGTTTAAAAGCCCGTGAACAAATTTCAGCATCAAAATTATCACCAGTCTATAGACCTAGTCCTGGTATTTCAAGGAAACAATATAACCGAAAATCACCAAGAAATGAAATGAATGCCGCTAATTGAAGATTCAAAGTTCAACCGACTCTATTCTAACATTAAACCAAAATCGTACATTTTTACTAAAGATCTTCAACATTATTAGTGATTCTTATCGGCTTACAAGAAATTTTTCGATGTCAAAACTTCTCATAACTTACAATTTCATTAAAAAATCATTTTCAATTCAAGTATCATCATCTTTTTTTGTAAAAAGAAAAAAAAAATTCTTTTTTGGTCGATTTAATTATTTTGATAACTATATTAGATATCTGGCTGTTTTTTCTTGTACTATTATTATTAAGATCTATTAAAATCAAATTTAAGAAGACTATGTCATGACTATCAATTTCTTTTTTACTTTAATTTTAACTAATGCATGTTTTTTTTTAGCATGCACTGATAATGTAATATAATCAAATCAATTGAGTGGCAAAAGAATTATTTTGTACATGTATTCAAACAGCATTTTTTTTTATTGAATAATAAAGATTACATTTGCATTATTATTCACTCTAAAAATAATGTATTAATCATTACGAATCTAGAAAAGGAAGTACAACGATTTTAACGTACGTACATCTTTTTTTGATACATATACTAATGCTGATTTCACAAAAAAAAGGCGGGTGGATATTTTTTTAATAACTTTTAATAGAAAAAAAATAGATCGCTACCATTTTCACCATTGGAAAGAGAACATGAAGCCGTATGGGATCATATACTATAGGTTCTCCTAAAATGTATTCTGACTTATTTTAAATCAAATTTATTAAAAGTAGTATCAGAAAAATGGTTCTTTTCAACATAACAAAAAAAAAAAAAAAAAATGTGATTTTTTTTTCCACAACAATTGCTTAAAAAATGAGTCGAGAATTTTGACTAGAATATCTATGACTTCTGAATAACTAAATCTAAAAATCTGAGGCTTATGTAGTTTTGTAAATCATCCGTTGGCAGTTCGGATGTACATCTGATAATTGAAAATTTATTATAGTTACCTCACAGGACATGTTGCTTTTCAAAAAAGTCAATCGAAAGCCTCAAAAAAACTTGTAATATATGATTCAATGCGTCTTCATCTCCTCTTTCTAAAAGTGAAAACCACAACTCTCTATCTTGTTTCTATCAAAAGCTATTTAAAAAAAAACATATTTTGAAAAAGAAAAACTAATTCAATCTATATCAGTGACTAGTTTTGAATGAAATTGAAATAATTATCACAATGAATATGTGAAACATATTTCATTCAAAGTGTATCAACGCTGCTACCGATCTTTGGTTCAACAAAAAACATTTCGTATACGACAAAAGTTTCGATCCTATTGAAATGAATATATTATTCTATTTCAATAGCAAAGTTTACAAAACAACATATAGACTTACAGACATACACAATGAGCATTCTGATTTTTTAGTTGTTTGCTTCTTTATTGAATAAGTAGGAGTATATGAAATATCCTGTTAGATAACTTTTTTTCTGATCAAGTCCTGCTTTTAGCTCTCTCCTTGACAAGTTGACCTCGCTTTTCTGCCTCTTTCATTGCAGCGAGTATCCATAATACTCAGTCATATTGAATTTAGGTGAACAAGGTGGCCAATCTGATGATTGAGTTTCATTGATCATACACATTAGCTGTCTTGATACAAGTGTGTTGTTTGCGTCAATCATAGTTTAGAGCTCTATATACCTATCAATGCACGTTAGCTGACTCAACCACTGAACTTGTTGAAGATGTAGTGATTGGAAGTTCCAGTCGAACGTTTCAATATATAATTGTCGACTAATTTTTGTTGGTCTTTGGTGAGAGAAATTTTGTCATGTAGTCTATCAGATTCAGTCAATAGTCTTATTTCATACAAGCGAGGAAAAATAAATAAGTGATTATTCGGTGATCACTACAAAGTTAACACACTCTTACACTGAATTACTTCATTCGCTTTTGAATTTCTTTTAGAGTAGATAACCATTATTCACATGTCAGATGTTAGATTTTTTACTCCTATCAATTTAGTTGATGAATTTGAAGAATAATAATGATAAAAGATGGAAGCCGAATATGAGTAATAGGTTGTTAGGAAATGTTATATGTGATAACAACGTCAAATTTTTTTGTCTTTTAATTATATGCCAGATGAACAAGCGCATACAGGGACGAAACTTTTGTCGTGCACTAATTATTTTTGAAGCTTATCTCAAGTGTGTTTGACAAAGATATTGATGTATGATTTGAAAGTATTCATAAAAATGTCTGCCTTGTTGATTGTAAAAATATTTGACCTGATAAATGTGTGAGAATGCAAAAGAAAGAAAAGTATCATATCTACAGAAATGCCTCATTCAGTTCTGCACATACACAGAAGATTGTTGTTGTCGTAGTAATAAATGACAAATACTATATTTTCTTCACGAATAAGTCAGTATGTGTGCATTTATGATTCATTTGTGTGGTTTGATAACAAATAGGTGTTTCGATTTACATTATTTATATGCTATCTTTAAAGATGTCATTTTCCTTTTCTTGAAAAGAAGAAAGAGAAAATGAAAAAGTTGTTTTGTTTTGTTTTGTTTTCAACATTCACTTTAAATTAAGTTGTTTTGTTTTGTTTTGTTTTCAACATTCACTTTAAATTAAGTTGTTTTTTCGTCATAGAATCATAAGACATGCTTTTTTTATTCTTCTTAAACAAGAAAAAGAAAAACAAAGACATTTTTTCGACTTTTATTTTCTATATGAAAATAAAGAGGAAGTAACAATGCTATTCGAATTCTCATTTATGTTATAAGTATTTTTGAAGTATATTGGGTCGATAGTTTTCTTTTTTGTGTGTCATGTGATATGTTGATTAATATTCATTGATTGTCTTTTGATTCTTTTCAGATATTAAATACATCTGTATTATGGCATCGACAAAGTTATTAGAAGATATTAAAACAGATGTTCAACAGAAAACAAATGCTGAAATGCAATCACTTATTGAAAAAGCAGCCGATTTAGTACTTAATTGTGAAGCTATTTTATTTACTAGTGGTGCTGGAATGGGTGTAAGTAGTGGACTTGGTACATTTCGAGGTGCTGCAGCTGGTGTTTGGCCACCTTTATTAAAGCATCCAGAATTAGATTTTACTGATATGAGTAATCCACAATGGTTTCGAAAGCCACAAGGTAATAGTGATAAACACAATACGGCTAATTTTGGTTATGCTTTTTGGGCATATCGATACAATGCTTATACATCAGCTGCTCCACATCTTGGTTATGAAATTACTAAACGATGGAGTGAATTGAATAATGTTAAATCTTCATTTAGTTTTACTAGTAATATTGATGGTCATTGGATAAAATCAGGTTGGAATGAATCAGCAGTTCTTGAATGTCATGGTTCTGTTCATTATATGCAATGTATTGATCAATGTCGTAAACATATATGGGATACTAACAATGCATTGAAATTGAATGTAGATTCAAAAACGGATTGTGTTATTGATCCTTTACCGCAATGTCCTGATTGTAAGAATTTAGCAAGACCAAATGTATTAATGTTTGGCGATTGGGAATATTTAGACGATCGATTAAATGAACAAATCGTTCATTACGAAAAATTTAAATCTGACATTGCTGGTGCAAAAGGCAGATTATTAATTATTGAATTAGGAGCTGGTACAGCTGTTCCAACCGTTAGAGCACAAAGTGAAGTAATATTTGCCGATTCAAGATGGACAGCTGATTTTATTCGTATTAATCCATTAGAAGAACATTCGATAATTAGTTTGTATTACAAAAATAAAAGTAAAGGACAAACAATAGAAATTGCTCTTGATGCATTAACAGCTTTGAAATTAATTGATGAAGCAATCAAGAAGAAATTGAAACAATAATAATCTTCCAAATATTTTAAACTCGAACAAGTCTTCGAACACAATATATAAGACTATTTTCTATTATTAATTTATGACAATTTGAAAGTCATCAATTTTTATAACAATCAAATAATCGAATTCAATGTAAACTAGATTTTTATTTGTCTAAAGAAAATAAAATTCATTTCCATATTATAATGTATATATTTTATACTTGTTTTATTATAACAGAAATCTTCTTAATATTACATCAATGATCTTACTCTATCTTTGTTCGAGAATAACGATATCAAAATATGGCAACTAAATAAAGAAAAATACTTCATTTTTTTTCCTCTTCTCAATCTGGCAATAATAGACAGATGTCGAATATGATCATATGAGTGTGTATTTAAGAAATATACATTATTGATAATTTTATTAGAAAAAAATAAATGTTTATTTTCATAAAATATTTGTCAATAATTTCATTTGAAAAAAAGTTTCACTTCTCACTGAATTATCAGGCATTAAAAAAAAACAAATTTTCATTAAGGTAATGTCAATTTACAATTGATTGAATTAGTATTGTACGCAAAACGACATAATAAATTCATCTAGGATTATAATCAGCATATTTAAGTTCTTCTGAATAGAAATTATCCAGATGAAATAACGTTCCACAAATAATATCTGACAATTTGTAATTGAAAATAATTGCGAGAAATAAATCATGAAAAGATAAAAGCAAAAAAGCTTATTGTTAATATATATTACTTTTCTTGTCGTCATCAATCATGATTTTAACAAAACGACTTACATCTGTTCAAAAAAATTAAAAAAAAGCACTTGTATTCGATATAAATATCACTAAAAATTCTTTCATTGGGATCATAATGTCTCGTTTTTTCTTTTTATTTATCTGCTTTATTCTATCTATCGATTCTTTGAATACCGTTCGAATTCTTGGTCTTTTTCATGAATATCAGAATGTATCTTATTATTATTCGAATATTGATCAAAATTCCCATTGGACAATTCAATGTATGGAAATGTTTCGTGTAGCTATTGCTCTTGCTAATCACTACAAAATCTATGTGAATGGTCATCCCATCAATTACACTATTATTCAGACAAATACCAATACCAATGGCTTTACAGAACTCGAAGTTGTCTGCCGATCAATTACTAATCAAACAGAATCTGATGTTATAGGTATCGTCGGACCTGCAAGTTCAATTAATGCACGTTATCTTGCTCCATTTGCTGCACGTCTAGGTTTACCACTTGTTTCTTATGCTGCAACAAATGCTGATCTTGATGATACATTTATTTATCCAACATTCTATCGTACTATACCATCGGATAATCTTCTTGCTGAAGCTATTGTAAAATTATTCAAATATTTTTCATGGACAACTTGTACAATAATTATTGGTAAAGATGATTATGGTTATGGTGGATTGAAAACATTATCAGAACTTTATTATTTAAATTTATCAATTCAAGAACGATTAATATTTGATCCGTGGCATGATAAATTTAATGTTGATTTAAAACAAACATTAGAAAAAAGTCGATCTCGTATTGTATTAGTTTGGGCTAATCAAAGTTCAACTACAAGAATTACTCAACATGCACTTGATGCAGAACTTCTTGGCAAAAGCTATGTATGGATAATGACAAATAAGGTAAATTCAAACGATATTTTTAATTTTTGAATAGTTCATACATTTTCGATAGTTTATTTCCATTTCCTAAAAGAAATTAAACTCTATCATTAAAAAAAAACTACAGATATGTAGATATTCATTCGTATTGATCAGGGCTCTCGATTGTTTTCAAGAATGCCGGGGGCTAATAATTTTTCACAGACAGTACTCATAAATGCCATCCTAATTTTCCCAAAAGTCAGAAGTGAAGAGCAAAAAAAAAGAGGTCTTCAACAAGATTTTCTAGGTGTACTGAAGTACCTCTGCGACAGCCGAGCCCTTTCAATCCGAACTCTAAGCGCTACTAAAAATTTCGTAGACAAATAGCAAGAAAATTTTCGCAGACACGCTCAAAAAGTGTCGAGAGCTAGCCCTCGACAGCCCCTGCCACATCGAGGGGCCTGGTAATGATACTGATGACTTATTTTATGCCCTTTGGTGATCATTATTTAATGAATTCATTTTGACTTATATTATATATCAGCACTATTTTCAGATTGATATCAATACATTCAAACAAGATGATTGGTTGAAGTTAAGAGGTGTTTTTGCTGTCGTACCTGTTATAGGTAATAGTAGTCCCTTTGGTGTTAATGAAACATTACAAAAAGAAGTTTTCAATATATGGCATAATTTGTCAAATGATAAAACCAATGTTCCAGAATGTTTATCCGATGTTAGTCCATTTGCCATGTATACATTTGATGCTGTTTGGGCTTTGATTCAAGCATTAAATAAATCATCGCTTGACAACAAATCACCATCAATGAATAAATCATCTACATGCTTTGATAGTTTATTGATAAATCATACCGAGTATCTTATGTATTTGCAAAATACTAGTTTTTTCGGTGTGTCAGGAAATATTCATTTTCATAAAAATCATTCATATGACCGTACTCATGGTGCCATGTATGGTCTCTACAATATACAAGGTATAAAGCAAAACTCTAGTAGAGGAAAACGATTACCAAGTTATAAACAAATAATGACATGGTATGAAATAAAACATAATTGGACGAATTCCACTGACCAAGGCAATAGTAACATCATTTGGCCCAACAATGGATTAGACACAGTGCCTACTGATTATCCACAACTTCGAGGTCAGGAAAAAGTTTATTGAAAAAACAAAAGTATTGCCAATTTATAATAAATAGAAAGAATAAGCAATACCAAAAGCCTATCAACCAATTAGATTTCAGCAGAATTTTTTTCTTTATTATAAGGACTAAACTTAGTGTTGTTCGAACCGATAATGGAGTTATCCGAGGTCTCCTTTCATATGACCCTAACAACCTCTTGATGCATTTATTTTGAAGTAAAGGAAAGGATGAGCTGTACACCCTCAAGCCATACCAATACCTCATTACGGTATTGTATTGTTACATTCCTACTCAGATAAAATCAAGGAAACCACTTGAAATCATTGAAACCACGAAATCAGTTTGTTCCTCTTGGATTGAACGTACACGAAGAAGCTCCACGAAGTAAACTGAAAACAGATGTGAATCAAATTCTATCACTGTCAACGCGAGCTTGAACACACTGCATTGACAGTGGCGAACTTTGGTTCACTTCATGGAACCATATGAATAACAGAACGCAATAGTAAATTGCATTAACTATAGATGATTTCTTTTCTGCTATTCCTAGTTTCCGTACAAAGTCTTATGGTAGTTTAACTCAAACATTACACAAAAGAACGAGTAAACAAATCTGAATTTCTAAAGAATATCATACATGTATCAATTAGTAAAATATGAACAAAGTCTTCATTTGTTTGAACTAAGATAAGACTACGATATAATAAATCTCTTCCGAATGGAATTGATTCTTATTGAAAAATATTGTTGAAATTTCATTGTTTGTTCTTTTGAAGAAGATTACTACGAGTTCTAATATTTCTAAAAATTTTTGTTCAAAAAAGGGATGTGATCTTAACGAACTGACATCACAGTAATTGTAAACTACTGAGATACTTTCATTTAACAATGTTTTTAGAGTGGAAAAAAATTGACGCTTTTTCATCAGATCAATTTTGAAATCTGTCAATTAATATAAAATTTCTTCTCAATATTCTTTGCTATTATTTGTTGTCTTTTTATTTTAATAGAAAAAAAAAATATATTAAATTTATATCCTTATTAAGGAATAATATAACTTATATCGAATATATTTAGGTCAACATTTGCGAATTCGTGTCATGGAAGCACCGCCATTCGTTATGTTACACAATGTCTCAACTCAAGGTCAATCTGTGAACAATATTAAACTTGATAAACAAGCTAATTTTCATATTGATCCTCTGTCAACTAGAAATCCAAATATTTTTATTTATGGCCTTGTTGCTGATTTAATTCGTGAACTTCAACAGAAAATGCATTTTAATTACACTATTGATGTAGCTGATCGATCAACAGACTATCATTCTCTTGTTGCATCAGTAGCAAGTGATGATCGTCAATATGATATTGTTTTATCTGATATTAGAATAACTTCAAGTCGTCTTTTAACAGTTGATTTTTCTACACCATTTCATGAAAATACATTTCGAATAATAACTCGACAACAACCATATTCTTCATCGCTTAGTCTTTTCTCATGTTTAAATCCATTTACTTGGGATGTATGGGCGGCTATTTTTTCAATTATGATTTATTCAGCATTTATGATTTACTTTTTTGAATATCAAAATATTAAAACTGAAGATAATCAATTCGAATTAAAATCTATTGTAATTGGTATATGTCAGGCGTTAACTAGTATTTTGATTATGAGTGGTGATGTACGTTTAACAACACATTCAAGTCGATTAACAATTTTAGGTTTATATGCATTAGGTATTATTCTTGTTGCAACATATACAGCTAATCTTTCATCGTTTCTTACATTAAATCGTGCTCAACCATCTATATCTGGTATTGATGATATTAAAAATGGTCGTTTACCTTTTTCACGTATTGGTATTATCACTAATTCAGCTGTATCAGATTATTATATACGAAATATTTCTTCTATATATCATCATCTTTCTACAGTTGAAGATATGTACTCAAAATTACTTGATCGTACAATTGATGCATCCATATGGGATTCATCTGTAATTGAATATGCTGTTAATAATTATTTTTGTGATGAATTAACTGTAACTGGTGTTGGTTTTGTTAAATCATTGTTTGGTATTGTTTTACCTAAAGATTGGTTATACAAGAGAGATTTAGATGTTCATATATTGGCTATGCGTGAGTCTGAAAGATTAGAATCATTAGAAAATATATGGCTTAAATATCGAACATGTTCATCATCATCATCATCAAGTAATCCAAATCATACTGATGATTCGAAAAGTGAAACATTTTCACTTGATGCCTTGGGTGGACTCTTTCTTACGTTTCTGATTATAACTGCGATTGCTTTTGGTCTTCATATATGGCATTGTCGAGTAGTTATCATCACTAAATTTTATCAGAGTACGCAACGTGTAAGACTACAAACAGTACAAATGACAATGAGATATTAATGTAAACTTTTGTTGAATAATGTGATGAATTCACAAACAACACTAAAAAAAAACGTATACTGTCAAATGTGATTGCTTTTCTCTTATTTGAAAAAAAAATAAAATATATTTATTCCAGAAGCATTTGGATGAACTTAAAGAAATAAATACTATCTATTATCCATTTCAGAAAAGAATACTGATGCTTGTTCTTTGAATAACTTTTGATACGAACGATGAAGACAGTTTGATACGAACGATGAAGACAGCTGGAGTCTTCACCTTTTAAGAGAGAACACCCTGAATCGTCAAAGTATGTCGAAATCTGATTGATCAACAATTGACCAAGCGGATGAGTTCCTAGCGAAGATTTTGAAAATGACGTTCTGAAGTCATTTCCCATTAGACTTTGGTACGTAATAGGGTCAATTGATAGAGAAAGTCTTCTCTTTCGATCTACGAACACTCCACCTTCTTAATCATTTTCATTCAAGAATTACAAGCGTTTTCCTGAGACTCCCGATTTCAGAAAATCGACCTTAGAAGGCTCCAAAAGTGCTTCATACAAGAGTAATTCATCGCGTTGAATGGAATGGTGATGTTGGTTTTTAGTTTCAAAACGACCTGACACCACGACTTCAGTATTTTTGAAGTTTCAAAAATTCTCCTTATGCAACAGCGTAAAACTCAAAGTTTTGTCAGCATTTGAAAAATGGTCTAAGATTGCTGTGAAGTTGAAAATACACATCACCATTCGACTTAGCATGATGAATTACTCCTGTGTGGAGCCATTTTAGAGTCTTCCAAAGTTAATTTATTGCAATCTGAGGATCTCAGAAAAACTCTTGTAGCTCTTGAATGAAAGCTAATAGGATTTAAGTGTGTGTCAAATTGATTATCTTTACATTGATAGAAGACTTCATTATTAATTCAATTGATTTCAAGTCGTTTTAAGCTTATAAGAACACTCGAAAAATATTCAACAAAACGAATTGTAGATCTCATTGAAACTATTCAACTTCTGTTCGTATTTTGTAGAATATGGAAAGAATGAAAATAGATTAATCAAATGAAGTTTAAGAAGTGTCAATAAAGTTTTAACTCAAAAACTGCTCTCAGTTCTTTTTATTGATTTAAGCTCAAATTTTTTATGTAAAATAATTTCAACCTTACGAAAAGAATTAGAATATAATGACTTCAGTATAATTTGAATAAATCGTGATCATGTATTCGTTGATTGTGCTTTTATTTGCACATACATATGACGCATATCTTTTTTGTTTTATTTGAAGAGGCGGGTTTAGTCAATAACAATACATACTACTAAAGTTTCATTTAAAATAAGTGCACATTCATTGTGATTTTGTGAAAAGATGAAGGTACTTATTTTTCTGCTTACTCTCCTTGTTGCTCATAGTACTGCTAACAATGGTACACGTAAGTTAATATTCTAACAATGAATATCTATTTATAAACTTTTCTATTATTAGAATTTTCTTCCTTCGTCAGTCTGGCGAGTCCTAAAATTGTTCCATATTTACTTGGTATATTTCAATTCAATACTGTTGAACAAGTCACATTTCCACTTGACCCTATAATTCCATCTACAGCACAAAAGGTTCGCGTGACTGTCTTCATTCGAAGTGGAATGAATTCTGGTGAAGCTGCTTTTAATGTTTGGTTATGGACTGAATGTCCTGAGTTCAATTTTAAAGATACAAAATTTAAACGTGGTTATCGTTACTATCAAAGTGCTTATTCATTTGATTCGGAAACACTCGAATTTTTCTATTGTTCATCGAAGCCTGAACTTAATGTTGTTACAGATAACCCATCAGGCAATGTACAACTAGAGCTATATGCTGTAGGTTATACTAAAAATTAAGATCTTCTTAACAAAAAAAAAATACCTCCTTTTATTTCAATAAATATATTATCTTCATGAGATGAACTATTCGAGACAATTTTATTTTTTTTTGTACATGATCTATTCTAAAATCGATAGAATATCTAAAAAAAAAAAGAGCATAAATTCAAGAATGATCATATAAAGTTATACCAAAGTAAATGTAATTGATATTCTGTATATGATCAATAAGAATTCATCTTAAAAAAAACCTTCTCTCATTTCAACATAAATGAATAGGATTCATATTGTTAATATTTGTTTTTTGATTTCCTTCAATATCAAAACAAACATATTTTACGGATCAAGAACAAGAAAAAGTAAAGATTAAAATTTTTCACAACATTTAATGCATATTTGTTTGAAAATTTTAATTTTAGTGTAAACATAATTACTTTATTGATGATTGTACTATTCCAATGAAACATACATTTTCAATTCATGATGTTCTATAAATTTCATTAACTTGAATCACATAGAGAATGTACACTTTAACCATATGTCACATTACCACTAATATATTGACTGAATAAAAATTAACTTTCTTGTGACGTTGACACTTTAACATTAATAGAAATATCGGCTAGTCATGCTAAATCGAGTTTCACAAATGTCGTCCATCTTTTTTTATACATTCTTATCTGTATTATTCCTGCTAGTTTTTAACTGAAACCTGTTGTTGGAATTATAATTTCTTCTCAAAACTGATTCTGACAACTTGCTTATTGAAATTTCATTTTGTATCATTTTGAAATAAAAATACAAACCAATTTACTCTAGTTCAAAAAATACGTCGTGTATACGACCATTTACAGTGAAGTACGACACGTTAATGGGGCCTTAATTCTCCGCAAACACAGGATTAGTAATATAACCGTATGTATGATGGAATACGGCAATATTACGACATCTTTACGGCATTTTACAGTGTGAATACGGAATTGTATACGATCAGTAATACTGGACTTGTGATAAGGACACTAGACGGAATAAAAACGATTGTTTACGGTAACGTTACAATAATAGACGGTGACACGTAATGGTTGACCTGGGTAGATGTGCATTTCGTGCATATTTTGTGTATCATGCTTGCACTAGCTATGTGGGATGGGTGCGTAGGTCGTGTCTGTACCGAAACCCACACTCTTGGTGACGGTCGTAAACGGTGTGAAAATCGAGTATCCAGTCATTTATAATACAGTGAAATTCGGTCGTAATAATGCGCCTACGAAACGGCGAAAAATCACCTAAAACGACCATTTACGACTGTGCCTATTTGACTTGGAGTAATATGTATATATCATGAGATTGAACCAAACCTTTTTGTATACGAATATATCAATAATGTGAGCATAATTCAAAAATTGTAAGCAGTCTGCAGTGGCAGTAATTTGCTCTTACCTTAGTATACCACGTAAATAGAGTCGAAAGTTTATTTTATTATATTATTATTTTAATGAAAGATTAGAAAAAAAATACTTCTTTTCTGTTTATAATACTTTTGACCATGTTATTCACGACTTAAAACTCAACAGTAGCGTGTTTTTTTTAATGTTATTAAATAAAATATTATTTGAATTCGAATACAAAAAATCATCGATGGTTATTGATCTCGTTATATGTGAAATAGCTAAGATTCTTATACAAAATCTGCAATACATTCCACCTTGAATTATTCAATTCTACAAACAGTACTCTGATTTACATTCTTCTCATTTGAACCATCGTTTTACCTTCAAGTTATTAATTTTTATGCGAATACAAGTTAGATCGTCTAGTGAATTGATAGAGCATATGTTATCGATTGTTTTTATTTACGAATTAATTGTTTTCAATACGACTATTGCGTTCAAATCATTGTGAATTATTCTTGGTCATTAAAAAGAATTTTTTTATTGGCTTTATACAGATATATACCGGTCTAGGACACTTGGTCGCATAGAAACTTGCTCACTGTATAGGCTTTTACAAGAATTTTGAATAATATAATGAAATAACAATGACATAATAAATTAATTTCTTATGAGAGAATGATCATCATCATAAAATAATTCATGTAAATGTTTCAATATTTTTCAAATTAATGATTCTAATATAATGACAATTTCTATTCAATGATGTATATATAAGCCGTACAGACTAATAGAATAACTGTACGAAAACAGTAATGTCAGTTACTCTATCAAAATCTTCTAAAAACATACAATGGCTGTCCATATACAATTGGTTGGAATATTGAGACAAAAATTTTCTGGAAATCTTAATACTCTAGAAAATATGCTGGTCATTGACAATTGAATGCAAGATTAAACTATGAATTTATTAAAACAGTTGGTGAACATGAAAATTGTATTGGAAATCCATGAAGGAAAGCAACTCATAAATATTATGAATAATTAAGGCAAGAATCAGAATAAAATCAACCAAATCCACATAAACAAATATCATCATACTAGATGCGGTGCGTATCGAATTACCAAGTAGTAACAATTTAAAACGAAAAACTCATTGTTGACATCAAGAGAATGATGCTACTGAACCAACAACAACAAACATTAACTTTCCTGTTATTTCACCAAAATACTATCACGCAACTCATAACACCAACTTTTTAGAAACATACTGGTCCAAGTTCCAACCGGTTCTTACTCTTTGTTTTACCGACGAACAATAAAGCATCATGAAAAATAGGCGAGGAAAATGGGTATAGGTACTGTTCTCATGTTCAGCCACATTAATATCCACACCCTCACCCATCCCTGAATTACATATTCTTTAAATTTTCTATTTTGCGATCAAGTGTCCGAGTGAGCAAATGTCCGTTGCCCATATTTGCATCACATTATTTTTTCGATTTTCAAATATATTTCGAATCATATAAAATTCTAAGACAATCTCATGGCAAATCTTGTCATCCAAACATGTTTTTTCAATGAAATGACAAAAAAATCGAAGAAATATTGACAATATTAACTTTGCAGTTCTTATGTATTACCCATTAAATAGAAACAAATGGCTATCGTTTAAAAGAACATAATCATTTTTTATGATTATACAATATGAAAATACAAATTTTAATGTGTTTCATAATCTCTTCTTTTCAAAACTATTCATTGAATACAATAGTAAATGTATCAATTAACAAGATGATCATTTAATATTCAGGTATGATTTAATAACCTGACTGTCTTGATTAGTTCGTACGAAAATGCTCAGAAGAATTCATTGACAACAACACATCTGAAATTAGACATAGAAAAAAGATTTTTTAATCAAATCCTAAAATCGATATGTTAGTTTTTAAAAATAAAATATTAATAACAAACAAAACTTATAATAAAAGAAAATCTACAATAAAAAATGCATAGATTTTAATCACAACTAAATTTTATTCTTCAGTTTGTTTTAAATCTAATAAAATAAGCAGATTAAAAATGAAATAAAACAAATAAAATAATCTTACCACTAGTAGTTACTGCTGATCTCAGTTTTGGTTTTGGTTCTTTAGACATTTTAACACGTTCCATAGCATCCATCATCCATTGCATACATCTATTCATCTATAATAAACAAAAACAAAAAAACATAAAATCTCTTTAAAAGTATTTTATTTGATCTAACTTCTTCAGCATATGTACGAAGATCTCCAACAGCTCGTTTAACCGATACTATTTCATCAGTAATTGCTTTAAAATCTATATTTGATGATAATTGTGAAGTATTAATTGTATCTAATGTTGTTGATGGAACTTCTTGACGTGCTGCTGATGGTACAAGAGTAGTTGCTGCTGATCGTTGACCAAAAAGTATTGTTCGAGCGCAAAGATTTGTTGCATAACTTTCAAATTCTGACCAATCTTTATCTATTTCATGATTAGCACCAATCATTTCTAAAAATAAAAATTCACATTGTTTGTTTATTCGTTTTTTTTTCGTTTTCTGTTAGTTTACTAAATCTTTTTGTTTGTCTTTTTTTCATATTTGAATTTTTGTTTTTTCGTAAATTTCGTATAAGGAATTGAATAAGTTCAATAAAATGAGTTATAATAATAAATGGAGGAAAAAGTGGTGGTCGATCAAAATATTCACGAATAAATGAATATCGTTCATAACGCCAAACAAGATCAGTTTGACTTTGAACTGATTCAAATGTAAAACTAAAATCAAATAATTACATTTATTTTATATCTTCAAAGAAAAAAAACAATACATACCTAAACATAGCAATAAGAAGATTAATAAGAAGAATGTTAACAAATAACATATGAAAAGCTAATAAAACTTGAGTAGCAATAGATGTACCAAGATCTCGATTTTCTATTTAAATAAAAAAACAAAAAATTCAATTTAAAATTTATCATCAAAATAAAATAAAACTATACGATCAAGTGCTGTTAATTCTTTATCTGTTGATCCATACATAAGATAATAACTCGGATAAAGAATATGTCGAAAAACTGAACGACCATCAAATGTTAAATCATCATCATCTGTATCGTCATTATATTTATACATGGTTCGAGAAGCAACACCATAGGCAATCATTGCAATTAAAATAATATATATAAAGAAAAGTAAATCGACGATCTAAAAATATAAATTAAAACAATAAAATATTATGTTCTTTCTTTTTAACATACCATTTTTCTTATCATAACAAGTTTTGGTCCCATATTTCGTGCAACACCAAGAAAAGCTAATGATCGAATATACCAAATTTCGAGATCATAAGCAAGAATTATTTTAGCAACTGATAAGTTTTCATCAGTAGATGCATATGTAAAACGAAGAATAAGACCAATATAAAAAAGTACATATGATGTAATACGAATTAAACTAACAAATAAATCTTTTATAAAATAATTATAAAATTTTCCTTTTATTGATCGACTATCTTGCCAAAGAAACTATAAAAAAAAAAGAAAAATTTATGCAACAAAAATAAATTTATTTCTAATAAATTACTTGTCGGATATCTTCAAAAAGCATTGTTGTTATAATAATAATAACTAAAATTTCTGTCCAATGTATACTTGGACTTTCATTTGTTGGACTTTTAAAATTGAATAATAAATAATAAGAAAAGAGTAACAGAAAAAATATATAACTAACAGCATTATATGAAAATTTAATAAATGGTGATTCATGAAATTGTTTTAAATGACGAAAATAGTTAAAAGACCGTTGTAAGCGATAACCTGATCGTGATTCATAAATATAAGAATAATTTATACCATAATCTCTTAATCTAAATACAAATATTCAAGATTAAAATCATATAATAAATAGTCCTATCATGTAGCCAAAAACAAATTGCGGATAAGAAGGAAGTTATTGCGGTAAAGAATGACGGAATATAAAGAGTAACCTTCAAGAAAAATGGAAATTTACTTGTTTCCATAAAGTAAAGGCGCCTAAAAGGCTGTGACTACACAATAGGATATATGTAGGATTGTAGAGAAAGACTTCCTCTATCTAATAATGCATACAATATCAACTTTTACTGCATACCGTTGGCATCGATAGATATTGCTACATACATTGCATTCTACTATGATTGCGGTAAAGGTGGCGTCATCTCTGCCGACATGTTAACAGTATGCACCCAGTCAAACGCGAATGCTTAGGAAATGCATGTACATACATGAATCGTTATGACATGGTATAAGTTGGAACGCATCATCGAATAAACCATATTCGCATTTACATGCATGGAATTTTGCGCATGTACACGCTTAATATTGTCGCTGCATGCAAGGCAAAGGAGAAAAGCGAGATTTCAGCACTTCAGAGTACTAAAATCTCGCTGTTTTTCCCTGAATGCTTTTATGCGGGAACTCATGTGTTTGCATGTAAGACAATTTTATAATGGCTAAAAAACGAAGCACATATGTACTAAACATATAGGGACACGCAGGGGTTTTCTTCTTGAAATAAGATTCCAGCATATATACTTTCCCCTATAAGACAAACTTCTTCACTATTCGACCATCTACTAGCATTAGAGGTGAAATTAAAACTGAAGATCATAATAATCATGTAATAACTATTAGATATGTGTGAACATAAATATTAATAACTATAGGCGAATTTGAAAAATCGCACAAGGTTTTTCAGTCAATGTAGTGTGGATATATGAGAGCGATTTCATTTTAATGGAAAATAAATAAATACACGCTGAAGAAAAAAAAACAAAATTCTTGCATCCCTAGTCGAGAATCTCTTGTGAAGGCCCCGGTGAGTCCCTGAAGAGTGCCTAATTTTTAGGGAATCACTCTCAAATACCTAGGAAGTCACTCTGAAATCCTTGGAGAATCCCCAGAGATTCCAATAGTGAGAGTTGATTAGGGATGGAACATCGTGTACACTATAAAATGGCAGAAATTTTCATGGCCATGCGGAATCGTTTTGGTTATAGTTGTCATACATACGACCTTTTTGCATTGACATGCTAGCCATCTTGTAAGTGCACACCAATAATACTTTGATATTTACATGCGAATGATATATGTTGCATAAACACGCAAGAATATCGCATGTAACTATTGGCAAGCATAAGAGTCATGCAGTGTTTCACATGTTGTGCTTAAAAACTTAGAAAATTGTATTGTTACGTATGTGCTATTCTCTTGCATTTATGTACAATAATTGTAAATATTTGAAATAACTTGCATCTTCATGCATGAGATACAATGACTTGAAAAATATTTTGCAAGTAAACGCTAGTTTCTGAAAATTTCGTCAAAATACATACGTTTTTTACGCTTTCGCGTTTGACTGCAAAGTAGAACTTGATAATGCATACATGATTAGATAGAGAAAGTCTTTGTCCAGAAGTCTACATATATTCGTTTCTGTAGTTAAAAAATTATCGAAAAACTTATAGTCGATTTTTATTCAAGAAAAACACAATTATCAAAATATTCTCTATTGATTACTATCATAAATAAATGTTTACCTTTCTTTTGTTTTTGTTACTAATGGTTTTGTTTCTTGTTCTGTTTCATTAACAGTCATTTCATAATTTCTTTTTCGATCATTTTCAAAATAACTAGGAGTTCGTTTGTATTTACGGAATGAAACAAAAAATGGTGCTAATAAACCAAATGTGAAAATACCCAATAATAATCCAATGCGTTGAAGTAATGTGAACTGAGCCGGTTCTATTTTATCATACCAAATATTATTCAAAAGTTGATCACAACATGGTTGACCAACAAAACACTTATCATCAGCATCAACAGCTACCTTAAAATACAAAAAGGGCAAACTATGGGTTTTTTTTGTTTGTTTCTCGATTTTAAATCTTACTTGAAGACATGAAACACCACCGAATATATTAATACGTCGAATAGCAATTTCACATGCTTTTTCTTCATCATAAGAATAACAATGTTTTAAAAATTCATTTGCATATATTTCAAATTGCTCAGCGTGGGAATGAAAAAACTCCTTTGATTCATTATCATAAGCATAGCCTTCATATGATTTGAGTATTTTTGATGCTATTAATGCAGCACATATACGTGTTTGCATATGACTTAATATCACCTTGGACATGTCAATACGATTTGTTAATATACACCACAAAAATAAATCACGCAAAACAAGTTCTCGAACTTCTTTTTGAGCTTCTTCTGGATCAGGTACTTCAGAATCATCACTATTATAATCTCTATAGATAACCGTACGACTATCTGCAACACGAGCTCCCACTAAACATCGACAACATATTTGTAATTGTTCCCAGAAGTTAGCAGCTGAACGAGTATATATTGATTTAAAATAATCACCGACTAATTTTTTTAATATTAGATCAAGATCTTGTGCGGAAGAAAATTTTTTGTGGTGAAAACATTTTTTAAGTAAATACAGACGTTGATTCTAGAAAAAAACTATTAGCACAATCTCTTTGGAATTAAAATGTGAAACACGATCACAGAAGATTACTTTATTCTATTTATTTTTGGATATATCTCTTCATCATCATTTTACTTAATCGGTTTGTGATGGTCTCGGACTAATGTTTGTTACGGTCTGTGGGAAAGGAAGGAACGAGATGGATCTAAATTTCTACCCTATATACTTAAACACTCCTTTTAGATCGTATTTCACAAAAAAAAAGAAAATAGTTCGACATAAAATAAATCATCGGTTGTTTTGTTTTATCTTACACTCATCGTGTCATCTTCGTATAATCTAATTAATTGTTCCGGTTTTAATTTCCATGGTTGATTAGTTTGTCTTTCATAAAACATTTGAGTTATATCAAAATTTAATTTGATAAATGTATTAACAAATTGTGGACGATCAGATAAAAGTGCATCAAAAAATAATTTTTCTTTAATTTCTGGCTAAAAAATATTAAATTTTTTCAAGAATCTTTATTAGATTATCTTGTAAACTTACACGAATATCACTTAAATCATCTTTAATGATATGTTCTTTTGCTACATGAATAGCATTCCAAGCAAGTGCCAATTGTAATAATTGTTCTCGATTAACTGCTTTATTTTTTTCAGAACTTTCCTGTTGTTTTGCTAGAAAGAAAAATTATCATATAAATTAAATAGCATAGAATTCATTTTACTTTCTAAAATAGCTTCGAAAATAGTATCATCTAAAGATTCGTCACTATCAAGACTAAATATTCGAATTTTCGATCGAACAGCTGGTTGTAAACAATAAAGAAAACATTTCAATAATTCATCCATTTCTTTGTCTGATGTTTTTGATCCTTTAGATATATCTCTTAAACCATCACGTATTTCATTTGTATAAGGACGAAATTTTGTTTTTAATCTTGAAAAATAATCATCAACAAATATATATATATATAAACATAATAATAAATAAATATTTTACATTTCAATATCATCTGGTACTTTGATATCGATTACGTGTTTCCAATTAACACCATCGTTATCTTTTCCATTTCGATGAATCATTGAATCTGTACGAATAAGAAAATTAGCAAGAAGATTGGGTACTCGACCACTACCCTATATAGATAAAATTCAATTAAAATATATACCTATGACATAAATCGAAATACATACATCAACTAATACTACTGGTATACTATTAGAAAGATCTCTGTAAATTGTTAATAATGTATCTGGACCACCTTCCACGACTATTGTTACTTTGGGAACTTAAATAAAATATTAATAAGCATGAAGAAATTGAAAATACAGATAGTAGTTGCGAAAAGTCTCACTGCTAGATAAAAAGTACTTAAACTGTAATTTTTTAGTTTCACAGTTTGACTACAAATCGAACATATTGAACTCTGATCACAGGAACTAATAGGGATTTGATCGGACTTTATGGAGAGAAATTAGAAGGTCGACATAGATTTTTTTCTTCAGACGATGGTATCTCAACATAGAAAATAAATCTAATGACATTAAATCCATCATTCGATAGATCACTACTGCTTCTATCACTAATAAAAATTCCATATCAAATGGTTTTTTTTCGTTTGCCTGATTTATGAAGTAATCTTTGAGTGATTTTCACCTAAGAGTTAATGGGAACCGTCGAAAAGTGATCCACATCTCCGGCTAATTTTAGCTATTTGTCTTGAAATTTTCTTCAGTGAGTTTCTTGCTCTCATTAAGTTTTTCTTGAAACTTTTACAATCGCAGTCATCAATAGAGAAGAGATCCGTACTGAGTCCGTTCCGGATAATGATGGTTTCCCTGTGTCTCAATATTACAGCGGACTGAAGTACCTTACCTGTGACACAATATAGATCTGCAAACCTTAATTTACTAATAAGAAAATGATGCCTAATGCATTTAAATAGTAGAAATCCAGAAAAATATCAAAAAAAGTTTTTCGGTGACTCTAGGAAAAAAAACCAGTGTTTTCATCGTAAATCCTTTGTATTAAGCCCTATCGACCTTGAATCGCTGCTTTCGATCAGGGCTTACCGAGCTCTGTTTGTAGTCAAAATATCAGACAAAGAGATTGAAGTTCATATACTTTTTATCCGGTAGCTGGACTTCTTGCGACTACTGCAAAAGTACCTCCTTTCTTATAATTTGCAGTTTCAAGAACAAATCTTGTTCTATAGTCTCCAATATCATATCCATAATAAGTTCCATCATCAAGCAAAAAAAAATGTGAATGATTCGGTTCAAGATATTGTTGACCTTTTGTAATTTTTGATGAACGCGTCGTTGCACCTTGATTAGAGTTATTAGTTGATACTTTTGACTAGAAACAAAAATTCAATAATGTGAAAAAACAAAAAAATTTTCAAACATTTACTGATATGAATGATGCTCGATTTTTAACTGCACCCCATTTCGAACAACCAATAGCAATAATACAATCTTGTGGACTAGTTACCTTATGATCATGAATAGCTTCACCAACAAGTTGTACAACACCCGTTTTAAATCCCGTTGTTACAATCCAACCATCTTTAAAACAAATCAAATAGATTTTATCCTTACATATTTTATTTCTTTGTTTTTTCTACCTGCTCTCAATGCAGCTTGAATAATACCTTTCATAAATTCTCTTTCAAGTCGTTCACTTAATTTGAAATATTTCCCTCCTCCAGTAATACACATTATTAATTTTGGTTCCTTCACTTTCCATACGTCAAACATTAACCTAGTAAGAGCAAGTGGGTGTGTTTCAATATCACAACGAATATAATGTATATGAGTATTCGGTATACATCCATATGCATTATTACAGGCCGATTCTGTATGCTTCTTTCGATCCCATTCACGATCATTTCCATCGATAATATCCCAAGAATGTTCACGACGAAGACGATTACAACCACACTGAATATCATCTTTACTACTACCACTAAAATAACGTTTTTTATTTTTATTAAAAGAAAAGACAGTTGAACTTTTGATAACATACGCATCACTAGTTGCTGAAGATTTTGGAATAAATGTAGTACATGTTCGTCGTTTTATGTTGAGATCATGATGAATTGCTCGAGTCCAATCATCATCATCATCATCAGATTTTAATTTAAACTAATTTAAAAGAAACAATGTGACAAAAAGAAACAAAATTCGAGAATTACGAGATTGAGTTTGTGTTCGTTCTTTGTATTTTTACTATTGATGGGAATACGTGAAGAAGAGTTCGTTGTCATAATCTAAGTTAACAAATGAATCTATTCTATGTAAACATTCAATAAATTGTTAAAAATATATAAGATTTCATTCAAAACATACATCACAGTTGTCAAAATAGAATTAAACTTCATCACATTGACAAATTCTTTCTCTATGCAGCAGCCTCCTACTATTAATAGTTATCAAAGAATTGAGCCAGGATAGAAAAAGAGGTCGCACATTTTTTGATATGCTTCTTATAAACATACATACATACATACTTTTCATTAAAGATAAATACTATCTATACGAGTACAATCTTTTGAGCTGCATATAATATATCTGATAAGTATTTTATATAAAATTCATATGCAAGATATATATCCTTGATATCATTTTTTTTTGTGTGGAAAGAAATTAAATAAAATAAAATCAGCAAGAATGAAGTTACAAATTTATTTAAATATATATTCTAATATAAAAATCTATTCACCCCAAAAAGCAAGTACAATTTTTTTATCAACAATGCCTTGTTGAAGTTTGACAAAAGCTTTATGATCATCATGAGCCATATATGTATCTCGATCTTGTTCATTATTGAAGGTTAATAAAAAAGCATGAGTAAAATCTTGATTTAAATTTTCTTTACCAACATGTGTTCCACTTTCAAATTGTTGTACTTGTGGTACCTTGGTTGTAGCTAATGCTCGAAATTCACGTTCAATTTTAGCAACATCAGCTTGACTAGCTGTATCTTTGAATTTAAAGAGAACAACATGACGAAGAAATTTAGCACCACTTGCTGCACGACGAAGCATTATTATTATTATGAATGTTAGATTGAAGGAAGGTTAGAATCTTTACATCGTTCTTTTTTTTCTCCTATTTAAATGTAAGATAAAATAAAAATAAAAATAAAAAGAGATAGACAATAGAAAATAACATTTTGAGTAATAAGAGTAGATGTGTCGCTTTTATCATTCATTCTCACTTTCTTGATTAAAAACAAATAATTCTAACGATTATTGTTGTTCTTTGTTGTGTTATCATATAAATTATCAATAAAGAAGAAAAAAAAAAAGTAACTCCGTATATGTTTATCTATAAAGGTGTTCGTATTTATAGTTATTACTATTGATAAGAATGCACATTAGTATCAAGGACTTTTTTTTGTTGCTTTTTAGTCAATCGATTGTCAAGGAAACTATTTCTTTAAAAATAATTTGAACAATAAGAAATCGTAAGAAAGTTTAAGCTCCTGAGGCTTTCTTTGAAGGTTTTGACCATTTTACTAAATTTTTCACCTAACACAAGCTATATACAGAAAAATCGAACAACAGTAATTCAATTTGAAATATTGCTCATATGTAGTTCTCGTGATCATTGAAACACTTTCAAAGTTTCAATGGAAAAAAAATACTTTCTTTTCGCAATAATAATTCTTAAAAACCTATCTCATCATCTATAAAGACTAGAAATATTCGCTTTTTTTTAAACAATTCAACCTATTTTTCTACGGAAACTTTTAGAGTGTTTCAATGATTACGAGAAATACATATGAGCTTTAGATCAGATTGAAATTTCGTATATACCTTGTGTTAGGTGAAAAAAAATTCAGTAAAATGCTTGAAAATTTAGAAGAAAGTTCTGTGAACTTAAAACTCTCTTACAATTTTTCTTAGAATAATGTCCCCAACATATGGACAAAATATCACTGAAAGTGGCGTGGATCAGTTGGGAACCTCTGCTCGTACGTTATAAACTTAAGTCAAAGTGATTGAAATTCTAAAATTGCATATACGCTCAATTTTAAGAAATTTTCTTCAGATTTCATATCCGATATTATTTAATTCATAGTATAATCTCAATACTGAACCCCTAAAACTTCAACAAACAAAAAACAGATAGACTCTCAATTCTTTTTATTTTTTGATTTGTCTTCGCAAATAATTTCAAGAACAAATAATTTTAATATTTACATTCTTTTCTTTTATGGTAAGAATGAATAAATAAAGACATTGTATGAAGTACATCAACTACTATTCATTCAAAAAAAAAGAATGGAATTGGTTGTTTGTTGAATAACTCGGTAACACTGATAACTATCGATCTCGAGTTTTCGCTGTTAGAAAGAGCATGAGTGAGAATACAAGCTTATCTAAGAATCAAAATATTTTAAAAGTTTACTACGAGGTTTCAGGGATTTTTTGGAAAATCACTGTCTGATTCGCTTGATTAGTTGTATTTTCAATCTCAATTTGGTCATATTGTAGTCCAATGTCCATTTTATAAACTCCGAAATATTTAGGTATTTTCGACTTTTCCTAGGTATTTGCTGGAATATGGAATTACGGGACTTCGACCTGAAAATTTGCCCATAGATTGATCTAATGGTCTATAGAATATCTTAAAAGTTTTAGTCAAGAAGGATATTCTTTTCTCGAGATATTGGATTTTCAATTTCACTTGAAAGTACAGCTAATCAAGTGAATCAGACACTTTCTCATGGAACTAATTATTCATTTCCTTATACAAAAATAACAAATCAGAAAATGTTCAATGGATATATATTGGTGAATGTGATATTAGTTATCTTTTACAAACATAAGGATTCTATTCAACATTAGGAACAGAAGTAAGTACAAAAACAACATCTCATAATACAATTGGACCATATAATGATACATTAACTAGACGTACAGTAACTGTGTAGTTAGATCATGGATTAAGACCAAATACTCGTAATTATAGTTATATGATTTTACCAAATATCCATGTTGAATTTATACCTGAATTAATAAAACATTATAATAATGATTATGTATTTTCTTGTATTTCAAATAATGATTTTTTTTTATGGAACGACATGATCAACAATGCCAAGTGCATCATTTGTATTATGGAATAATATTACAACAATATTTTCATGTCAGAATTCATTTTTTCAAATAAATATACGATTAAATGATGATGATGCTTATTTATTTAATGAAACTGCTACTGATTTTTCTATTACAGTTTCTCATCCAACTCGTATTAATGATAATGTTACAATAAATATTGATAGAATTGGATATGGACAAAGATGTATTGTAGTATCGAATAGTACTACTAATGTTACAATAGTTTTACCGTCATCATATCAACTTTTGGGTGCACTTGTAACAGTTACATGCAACAAGAAACAAATACGATGTCGTCATAAATAATAATTTTGTTTTATTTGTTCTTCTTTCAATTCAAATCATGAAATAAATAAATAGATTGTACAGACAAATAGATCCCAATAGATACTTTTTTTTTCAGAGTTTGACATTGGCGTTTCGTATTTTTCATAACATATAACGATAATTTAGTATATACGTATTATTATATCAGTTTATTAAAATTGCAAAAATTATAACTCATTTTCAATAAAAAAAAAAAAGAAGAAACTATACTTTGCTATTGCAACGCAATGCCATTTGAGCTCTAATAACATAATTTCTCATTGTATTTGTTAAATTAAATTTAACTTACCTATGTGTCTTTTCAAGCTGATCGAATATATATATATATTAATAATGGTCATTATTTTTTATTAACATTGTCTGTAATTTTAATCACTGTTCGTATTCTGTATTTTTCTTTTTTATTTGTCTTTGATATTCAAATGGAACTCGATAAAGCTAAATAATCATACACTAATCTATAAAAATATAGAAATCAAAACAAAAAAAAATGTAAAGAATAAATATTAATCAATTCATACACGAAAATTATTTGTATCAATCGATAATTGATGTATATTAATAAAATACTATAATAACAATAATTGTTTGTTATGTATATAAAATAATAAGAAGAAATAAAGATACAATGGAATATTTACCTAATATAAAGATCAATTAGCAATTCAATGAGAAGTAATAGATATTAAAAGAAGAGTAACTATTATTTAAAGACGATATACTGAAAGATTGTATAGATAATTTTAATTAATTATATAAGAAAAACTAGTGTTGCTTTGATGAATTAGTAAATATAGAAAAAGCACATATTCTTAGAAGAAGTACAAGATAATAACCATTCTAATAGAAATATTCTAAACAAGAACGTTTTCGTTCATCATTTATATTCAATTTTGTTTTTTCTACGTCTTTATTTTCAAAAAATGAATTGGTGAGTATCAACATGTTCATATAATGGCCATTTATTTTTGGTGAACAATAAATACTTTTCGATTATTTCCACTTAAATGAGAAGGATCAACTACTCATAGAACTTTATCGTCATAAAGTGTTGAACCAACTGATATTGATAATCTTCGAATATTCAATGAAAAATATTATAATTCAAGTTTTTTCCAAAGCAAACTTTTCATATCACGATGTTCACAAATATATATTTGATTATCTGTGTTAAAATTTTTTGCACAACAATATCTTATTTGTACTTTTAAATCACCTGAAACATTGTTAATATATATATTTGAGGATGCTAATGGGATTCAGTATATTCAATAAGCGAGATAGATTTTTGTATATGTTAAATGTTTTTGTTCATCAGAAAATTGATTTGGAAAGATTTTATCTTATTCAACAGGTCAATAAATTTCAATGTTTGATATTGTTCATTAACGTGTTGATTTCACCTAGACTGAAACGATGAGAGATTGCTTGAGATCTTTTTTTTTCTAAATGATTAACCGATTCGTATAAATAGAAAAGATTTATTGACAATGAAATTTATTATTTGATGATTATTTTCATCATCGTCAAACTCTTGGAAATATTCTTTCAGTACGAACTATAACATATACGAAAAAGTGAATTAGATTTATAAACTTTAATCTTATATTTTTTTTTATGTATAGTTGAAAACAATACGGCGTCTCTTGTGTGAAGGTTACGCTAATTATTCAATTAATAATCAGTATGAAAGAACTTATGTGTTTGAATACATTCTCTTACTATAATTTAGCAATGTAGATACACACACATGAATGTCAGTATGATCTTTGATTTTGGAAACAATATTTGATAAATCCTTGTCATTTATTTATTTTCACGTTTATAAATAAAGCAATAAAAGATAAGAGATGATTTATGGAAGAATGAAAACAACTATATACATCAATAAATGAGATATATTATTTTTTCTGATACCAACAAAATAAATTATTAATAATACGAAAAGTAATAATAGTAATTTGTATGGCAAGTTATTTCTAGAACACATCAAACTTATTCGTTAACGTCAAATTAAATGTATAATTCAATGAACTGAAGTGTCAATGTGTATAGTATTATATGTTACCAGTTGGATGTAGTTTATATTAAATTGTTAACAACAAGAAAATAAGTTCATGACGTTTCTCTTCTATTTTTCCTTGTCTAATTCTGATCTTTTAAGAAAGAAAAATATCATGAATGAATAATCTATGAATGGCATTATAGAATATAAAAAATCTTTCACTCAACACAATATTTAAATAGCCTATTATCTATCTAAATGTATTCAAAACACCATTTCTTATTTTGATCATGTTGTAATTATTTATTCAGCAAAGCAGTATCTAGAGCATATTAAGATCATATAGAAATATATTTCTGCATTACATAACATGAAAGATTACTGCTTATTTGCCTTTTTATATATTAGATGGAGATAATGGTCAATAGTTCATTGCTCATAACATCATCATACTCCTTTTTTCTACTGATTTTGAAGAAATTTTTATTTAACCAAGCATCTCAGAAATGAAAACAAGTATATTCAAAATATTTAGCATTTGAGTAACGATAAGATCAAACGAGAAATCAGTTTTCTTAAGAATTGATTGGAAATTTTGTATTTCGACAATGGTAATTTTTTTATTGATATGTTTGTGTAACGGGAACCATCATTACATGGATACTATCATCACCAATTGGTACTCTGCTGTGCTTTATCATACTTTCTTTTTCTCCTCTGTAACTAAATATACTCATGTTTGTGTGTTGTTTCATGAGTCAATAGACTCATGGACCTCGTTGTCCGTCACATATAACAATCACCAATAGGGCTCTATGAATTCTCAGTCTCTCTTTACCTAAGACACTTCGCCAACTTCAACTACTTATTTTTTGCTACTGCTGTTTTTTTACCTCTTGAAGAGGTTTTTTACAGTGTTCTATCATAATTTACTAGAATATTGGTCGTATTTTAGTTAATTTGATTTATCTATCTATTTGTAGAATATAATGGTCATATGAATGGTCAGTAAGCTTGATAGGATTAGCTGATGACGATACGTCATTAACGTATATCTTGGGAAAAAGTGGGCGATCACAAACTTTGTTGTCCTTGCGCATATAGATTGATTACATTTTTCTCTTCTCTTTAACCAATATTGCAAAAAAAAAAACTTCTAATTCTTAGAAAAGAAAACATTAGTTCTTGATTTACTTCGTTGTCCCATCCTTTTCTCATTATCACATGTTTATGATCTATCCCATATATCACTCTTATATCCTATAGAATTTATCTTTTCTGTCAGAAAGACGAGCCAACTTTGTTTATAATTTCAATCTCACATTACGAACTGACAGGTCATCTTGATTATCTCTTCTTTTTTGCTTTTCTTTCTTTCAATCCATCTGTTATCATAAAATAAATCAATCCATTGATTTCTTGTTTTCAACATTTTTCCAATCATCCTTTCAACCTTCTCTATATGATAATTTCTTGTTTATAGTTCAAGCGTCAATATTGATTAAAGTCAAATAGCGGACTTGAGTGAGAACATTCGGGTATAGTGACACTGGTGAGAAAAGCAATATTGTGACTGAAGATCAGCATCGTACGAAAGAGCGGCTAGGTATGCATCGACAATGCGTAGTCTCGAAGCATTTACCTTTCAACATCTGACGAGTTTCGCTGTTCATCTTACATATCTCATCTACTCAGTGTTTTGTTCTTTCTCACTATCGTTTCAAGTCCACCAAGCAGGCAACAATTGGAACTGATCCACTCGGACAACACTGTTCGGTAAATGATGTTGACTGAGTTAGAGAATTAATGAAGTAAACGCGAGCTGAAGAACATTAGCATTGTTGCTGATGATAGTATTGAAGGATGATAGTACTGAAAGAAAAACGACAATGTTACAGAACACCAATGGATGCACTAAAGGATGACTAAGTCCAAGTCGACTGTGCGTAATTCAAACGCACTTTCCTTTTTAACATCTGTGTGTCTCATATCATTTCTTCTCAAGTCACTTAATCATTGTTCACTTCGGTGATAATTCTTTCCGTTTCAAGTTCTGCAGTTCGTCTATTAAAAATACAACCACAAACAGCACATTTTTCAAGCAAAGGCAAAAACTAAGCAAATGTACATCTTTTTTTTTTGAATGAATGTCTGAGTATTATTCTTTTATGGTTCTTTTTCTTTACTATCTTTTCTGTTGAATATTCTAATCAAGCAATTTAGCGTTAACGTATTTTCTTCTTTTTCTTCTCATTCATTCTATTAAATCAATTCTCATCAATTTGTTTTGAACGATCTACATTATCTTTTCTCTTTTTTTTTGCCAATCACTTGTATTTGTGCGAGAGCACTTGCATCTTGATGGGCGAGTATGTGACAGAAGCCATCATTACATGGACACTATCATCACCTGTCGGCATCCTGCTGTGCTTCATCACATTTTCTTTCTCTCTCTCTGTATAGCTATGTATACTCATGTTTGTGTGTTGTTTCATGAGTCAGTAGATTCATGGGCCTCGTTGTCCATCATAGTTTGGTTAAACATATTCGAGATGTCAAGAAAAAAAAAGTAAGTTGATTTGTAATGCACGGTGGCGATTGAGTTATGGGATTATAATAGCATCATCATTTATGTTTTATTATTATTAATCCTATAAGAATAGTCATCAATGCCATCTTTTAGATAAATAATAGCAAAATATTTCTTTATTATGAAATGTTTGACAAAACAAAAAACATAATCAAATTCATATACAAGAGATAAACCAGATAAAATCCGATATCTTCATATTTTCAAAAAAATTAGTTTATTAAGACTACAATTCGAGTTGGTTCTAAATAGAAGTTGTTACTCTAGAAAATGATCAACTTTATTTATAAACTTCTTCGACTTGTAACATTCATTTACCTACGATATTTACTGTTGTAATAATGAATGTAAAGGAATATTCTGTATAAGATTGTATGCAATATT